AATAATAACACGTCAGTTTTTTTGGTGTTCTGCAAATTAGCTTACAGCCTCTCTGATTACACCGTTGCCAACTGAACTTTTTCCAGCCACCTATTGCGGCCTGCTCCCACTCATTGGAATTTACTACCGCCGCTGCCTTCTCACAAACCTCCATCCCCACCGTCAACTCAGCCAACTCCGACTTAGAAATCAGCGTCGTTACATCGTTGACGTTCGCGTTCAGCAAGCGCGATTTCACTAACACGGACACCAGTGCGTTGTCCAACGGGGCAGCGGTGGTTGTAGTGCTGCTAGTTGTACTACTGCTAGTTGTACTACTGCTAGTTGTACTACTGCTAGCTGTACTACTGCTAGCTGTACTACTGCTAGCTGTACTATTGCTACTTGTACTAGCAGTAGTGTTACCGGTGTCAAACATGATAGAGCTAAAGGTCGTGGCAGGGTCGCTGAAACCGCCAATTCCAAGATGATGCCAGAACCTTAACCATGACTCTCCGGTGGTGTCCTGGGCATTGGTTAGGTAAACGACCAATCCTGACAACGCCACAGTAGCTACGGAAGCTACGAAACCAAGACCGAACCCTGCGGGAAACGGATGGCGTCGCCAGCACCCTTCAGTTGCTTCCGGGACACGTAGTGCTTCAGCATCAAAATACTGCAACGGTGGTCTTGAGTTGAGGATGATCGGTACCCAATCAGTCGGCACTACTGTTAAGAGATTTTCTCGTTCTTCAGCTTCTAATTCTCTCTCTCCTCCGATCTCCAGTTCCAGTCCTTCCGTCAACTCCGTCATTTCCGGATCCGTCCCACCAAACGCTTGCCAGAAAACTTCGTCCACAACTGACGGATTGTCCGCTGCTGGCGGATCGGCGTCTTCTAGATACTCCTTCAATGTTTTTGCAAGTATTTGCTCTACACGATCAGATGCCACCACTTGTTCAGGGGACTCATCCGGCGCACGGTAAACACGAAGACGATTCCATCGTTCGCACCAGTCGAACTCGGTAAGGTCTGTTCTGAGTAATTCCGTCTCCGGTATCAAAGCAAGAACTCTGGCGTTGTCTTCACCAATGCGAACGTCAACCATCCTCGCCATACAACCTTCAAGTGTAGAAATCATACCATCAGGTCCTAGAAATGCTGCCAGCGCCACGCCCCCACCAGTTGCATTGCTCGAACGTAGACTTCCTATGGCTTTCATTTCTAATTTTAAAAAGACTCTAAGCCCTGATGACGGACGGCTGTTACGTCCCTCCATCCACTGCCAGACCTCCATTCGCTACCAGACCACCATCCACTTTCCAGACCACCCGTCGTTCCTCCCGTCCTTCCTTCCTCCCTCCCCGCAACACTCTCCCCGCAACACTCTCCCCTCCTACCCGTACAGCATGTGAGCATGTGAAGAACTGAAGTTAATAGAAGGGAAAATTGTTAACCTTCCAGTGGTTTAGATTCATGTTTGGAATGCTCCATTTGTAGTAGCACTTTCTTGCCATGTGATGGTGCCGTTGTATAGTTCCAATACTTAAGAAGCGACTGTGTCATGTTCGGAATAGGTTGGTAGCATTTATAGTAGCACTTGGTCGGCATGTGGTTTTGTCTTTTGTATGCTGTGTAATATTGTGCGAGTTCTTCTTCTATGATGTTGATTCCCATAATAGCGCCCCAATTTATTGTGTTACCAGTGGGCGTTTGGACATCGCATGCGAGGGCAGCATGAAGGCAATTGCAACCCGGAGGTGAGATGTGTGCGCGACTCGGTTGTGGGCGGCGAGGATCGTCGGCATGACTGCAGTTTGTATTAATATCCGTCAGGTACAAAGTGTCAAGTCCTAATTCTTGTATTTTCTCATCACTCAAAACGCTAACGTCAATGCCGGGAATCGAACCCGCGACCTCTTTTGCGAATCGAGGCATCATAAGCAATTCAAGTTCTGACGAAATACGCTTTTTAGCACCGCCATTCTGATTCCCGCCATTCTGATTCGATACGTATCGTAAATAACCATTACACTGAAACGAACATCGAGTCGGCTTGTCATAATTCACACCGGCCTCCCAAATAGTTGGGAAATCATACATGAAAGGATTCGCAAAATAATGACAAACAACAGTTCTCTTAAGGTCATCGATACAAACTATCTTACCACCCGCCAAGCGACATGGGGACCAGTCCAAGCTTCTCCAACCATCCGCTGTTGCCGGAAACATTGGCGCTGTTGTATTACTTGCCATCACAGCATTGTAAGCCTCCTTGCATGTCTCGGATGGGACTCTCAGATTCTCAAACTCTGACGCAGAAATCAACGTCGTTATGTCATTCACATCCGGCCAGAGGCGTTCCACCGGCGTATCACTGGCCACAGACATAGGCGGATTGAAATTCAACATGCTGGCCACGGTGGACAAGATGGTGGACTGGGTAGTGGACTTGGTAGTGGACTTGGTAGTGGACTGGGTAGTGGACTGGGTGACGTTGGTTCCATTATTGTTCATAGTAGGAGTTATACCAACAAATGTAGTATTCGATATAGAGTCTCGATTACCGCGCAAAGACAACAACAATGATGTAATCACGGCTCCACTCACAATAATCCCAGAAGTAAATCCAAGGCCAAAACCCGCGCCTAACCAAGGCCAGAATCTTTTTTTAGTTGGCTGTCGATATCTGACTTCATGATATTGATCATCGAAGCTCCATTCTCCATCGAAGCTCCATTCTCCATCGTCATCAAAGTTATCCAACTGGTCCTCCAAATGGGGTGTTGGATCGTCGATGATTGGCACCCAGTTCTCCGGCACCATTGACTTAAGGGTTTCGCGTTCCTCATCCTTCAAGGCTCTCACTGCTTCGATCTCCAGCTCGATCTCTCCATCATTAAGACACCCCGTCACCTCGGTGAGTTCGGTCAAATCCGTACAAGCCAATTCGGTCCATTCCGTCAGAGTCTTACCAAACGTTTCCCAAAAAACTGAATTGGCGACTGACGGGTCGGAGCCCTCTAAGTACTTCGTTAGGGTTGTTGCAAGCATACGCTCTACACGGTCGGAAGCCGCCGCTTGTTCAGGGGACTCATCCGGAGCACGGTACACACGAAGGCGGCTCCATCGATGGCACCAATCGAACTCGTTAAGTGGGGATGCGAACAAGTCTAAAGCAAGAGCTGGTACAACAGCAACAACTTTGGCGCTATCCCTCCTAGTAGAAATATGAAGCATCCTTGCCACACAACCATCAATAGGCGATATCATGCCATCCGGACCCAGGAATGCTGCCAGCGCAACACCCCTACTGATCACACTGCTTGAACGTAGGCCGGCCTTCATTGAAAATGAATTTAAAAAAAAAAAAAACCACAATCGAAAACGGCCCCCCTCACCCGATCTCCAAACGTGAACGTGGGCTCGCCGCACCCTTCGAGCGCTGCCAACTGGTGTCTAAAACAACGGACTGTTTAATGCTGTTTTGAATGCAGTATACTGCTGCCTCTTCCGATGCTGCCTCTTCCGATGCTGCCTCTTCCGATGCTGCCTCTTCCGATGCTGCCTCTTCCGATGCTGCCTCTTCCGATGCTGCAAGATATAGAACTTCATGCCCCCCGCTTGTGCCACACAAGGATATCGATCCTGCAACCCCCGTGAGATGTCATAATTCCAATGTCTCGGCATTGCGCTGAACAGAGCATTTAGAAAGCTTCAGAAGATGGACAGCCGTGCTTACAGCGTGTGCCGTTGTCGGACTCCACTCTAAACGGACGTCCAATCGATAACAATCGGTCCCCAATGTTCAGCTCGAAATCATGCCATCAGCAACATTGTTCAAATGTAGGCTTGCTCATTATGAACTGATTAATAACACCACCCCCGAAACCCAAGTTACGGCAAGCCATTGTCTTTCCAATACTCGAGAAGTTGCTCTGTCATGTCGCTAACGGGTTGGAAGCATTTGAATCCACAGTCCGTAACCACATGATCTGCTCTTTTGAACGGGGTGTAATACTGTGCGAGCATCTCTTCCTGGGTGTACATGTCAACGATAGAGCCCCAATATATCTGTCCGTAAGATGGAGTGTTGACCATGCAGCTGAACTCAGCGCTGGTGCAGCCACAACCCGGTAATGCAACATACGCTCGGTATGGTGCCGGCCGACTTACCCAAGGACTACAGGTCTCATTTACTGCTATCAACTCTCCAACTTTACGTCCTAGTTTTTGCAATTGCTCATGGCTTAGGCCGTGCGCGTCAATTCCGGGAATCGAGCCCGCGACCTCCGTCGCAAGACGAGAAAGCCTCAACTCTTCTGATTCTGACACATTAAATCTGAGTATCTCTGGGCTATTGCACTGGAGAGAGCATTGGTACGGCTTCACATAGTGGGCAACAGCCTCCCACATAATCGGACAATCATACCTAAAGGGGTAACCGAAGTTATAGCAGGCTGCAAGTTTGTCGTTTTCGTTAGAGCAAACAACCTTGCCACCGCCCTCGAAGCACCTGCCCCAGTTCAACTTGCGCCAACCATCAGTCGTTGCTGGCATCATCTTCGTTGTCAAGATCGTGTTGCTCCGACCATCCTCGGTCACCAGCTTCCTTGGTTCGAGCTTGTTGCTTGACGGACTCCACCCCTCTACAAACTTATAAGCCTTCTTACAAACGTCCATCGGCACTCTCAGTGCAGCCAACTCCGACTCAGAAATCAACGTCGTTACATCGTCGATGTTCGGCCAACGGAGTTTGCAAGTTGCCTCCTTGCAAATGTCCACAGAGTTATGCCTTGTGATGCTAGAGTTAGGCGGCTTGATGGATGGCTCCAATACGTGGCAGGACTCCGGCAGGCCATACAAGTGGAAGAACAACCCTGCTGTACACACTCCGCTCACAATAGCTCCAAGACAGAGACCCGCGGCGAATGTCGGTTCCTTCCAAAGGCTCCTGGCATCCGCGAGGGTACTCTGCTGATCCTCGACGTCATTATCAATCATGTTCCTCGAACCTCCCACAACGGCCTTCCACGCTTCCGGGACCATTGTTAATAGTCGCTCTCGTTCTTCGTCTTCTAAGTCTCTTACTTCTAAGACCTCCAGCTTGTTAACCGCCTCGGCGTCCATCCTTCTGGTTTTTTGAATCTCATGCCACACAGCCAGCTTCTTGCCAAATGCTTCCTTCAAGATCGCAGTGACGACTGACGGCCTGGCGCCCCTCACGTGCTCAATCAAACCTTGAGCCAGCGTCCGCTCGACGCGTTCAGAAGTGTTCGCTCGCTCGGCGGACTCGTCCGGTCCATAGTAAACGCGAAGGCGGTTCCACCTCCTTGGCCAATCGTAGTCGGTCATGTCGGAGGCCAGAAGCTCCTTCGGGGGGGCCAAGACCAGAACTTGAGCGGCATGCGTCCCGTCTGACACTACGGCCATTTTGGCCACACAACCACTGATGGGTGACATCGCCCCATCCGGACCAATTAAGGCCGCCATCACCCCACCTCCCCCTGCAATGTGTACCAAACGTAAACACGCAACCGCCTTCATCTGAAATTTGGAATCAAAAAAACGGGGGTCGTGTTTGGGTCAAGCGCAGTCGTTACGTCTTAGTCCGCTCAAGGTGTCATCAACGCTCAAGGTGGTCTGTCGTAGCCGTGTCTCGTCATTTGTCGTGTGCGCGTTGTGTCTACGGGCCGTAAATTTTTAGGGTAAAGGAGGGGACGCAGAACAACAGTAAACCATGGTCGAGTCTACCACCCACGAGCACGACGGCGGCCTGAGTTCAGCCACGGAGGACCTGCGCGGTTCTGCTGACGACAGAACAGAGTGGCGGTATCGGAGGGAACCTGTGGAGGTAACTCAAATTGAGTCGATTGAGGCGGTAGCTCAGTACAAGGGCGACGACGACGAAGCTGAATATCGTTGCGGAGAAGCACGGTTTCGGTTTTACAAGCCGAAAGATGATGCCAAGCAAGCTGGGTCGCATGAGTATGAGTTAACCCGTCGAAGCTGTATGTCTAGGGTAGAAGGTCTGACGTTTGATCCGAAGTCGGAGCGAGAGCTGGATAAGATTATCGATGACGTCGCTTTGAGAATAGATGCAGAACGACCAAGCGTGGGTTTACTAGTGGAAGCGTTGAGTGGGATT